TGGAGTGGTCTGCTGGGGCAGCAGCATTGCTCGCAGCAGACTTGCCGCTGGTTGCTGCTTCTATGCCTCACTTGGTAAAAATGCCTAAATTAAAAACATTGCCAGGAAATTGATGACCGAGTTGAATTTATTGCTGAATTCATTTATTAAACAGAAATGTAGCTTTTAATTGATTTGTCAAAGTTATGCCTGGAGCATTTTTACTTCCCCTATTCAGACACTTTTCCTTACTGTCCAAAATAAGATATGTTACAGATTCCATAAATACAATTACATCAACTTTCAGTCTTTATGTGTAGAATGTGTGTGAACTAGCAGTACACATGGCAAGAAAGCATCTGCCTTTTTCTTTTCCTTCTTCCTCTCCCCTTCATCTCCTCCTTCTTCCCTACCTCCCTCCGTTTCCTGACTAAATAAGGGAGTTGAGAGGAAGATGCCTCCTCTGGCTTTCAGTTGCTGTAGTCAATATTGCTGAATGTAATAAACATGCATTTTAAATACCAAAATATCACATATTGATGGATTGCACCTCAGGCCTCGTCTAGCTCTAGAGGAGCAATTTGTCATGTCTAAGCAGTCATTAAAACACTGCTAGAAAAATGATGCCTTTACACTGCAGTACTGGCCATTCTGATAAATGCATCCACAGGGCAGCAGTGCTGTTTTAGCCTGGTATCTGACAGAACTGAAAACAGGAAACCTGTACTCAGTCATGGCTTATTACATCCCTGATATGGTTCTAAAAATGTTATTCTGCTGGATTTAAAGGGACTCAAGGAAGCTTAGGGTTGTTGCACATACAGTGTATGTTGACCTATGTTTTTACTGCTGGTATATTTATTTCTTTATGACTATATAATGTGTACCTTCAATGGCAATGTTATCCATTGTTCCCTGATTTTCACACTGAGGAGCATGGAAACGATGACTTTAATCATTAAATGGTGACAAGCATTGCATGGTCTCCGCTCCCTAAATTTTATCACTGTAACAGAGGCTTTATGTTTGTTTGTTTGTTTTTAAGAATTCAAACACAAGTTAAACTTTAGCCAGTGTGTGGAGAATTGGTTTTATCTCAGCAGCTGTAGCAATGAGAAAACTGAGACCATTATAAAATTTTTGTACTATAAAATATATACTGATTAAGGCCATTTAATTTCATATAGCCTATTAGTCAGGCTGTGAGCTGCATAAACCACATGCTCCCGCTCTTAGCCTTTCACCCATCTAACTGCAGTAAATTCTTTACACTAATGATACACATTGTAGTCCTTCGATTTGGTATTTGGAGATCATTCACACATTAAGTTAACATATATACACAGTCAAAATAGGACTGGTCAATCGTACTGTACACCCATCTGCTTCAAGTAAAAACCTCAATATCCCACAGTTCATGAAGGCAACATCCTCAGAGTGACGGAGGGGGATCCCCGGCGGTGTGACGTAGTTGGGCAGCCTGAGTTGTGAATTCCTACCCAACACCGAAACACAATGAATCATTACAAGCGCATTTAATCGGCACAGTCAGAAAATTCGCTGATTCAGGTGCAGCCGAACTCCCATTCACTTCAGTGCAGGTAAATGGTTTTTTGCAGGGTATGGAAATAGTGATTTTGCATAAAGCAGAACAATGGGAGCAGACAGAAGTGTGTGTATGTGTGTGCGTCAAGTGACATCCTCTGATACAGGAATACAGATAATGGAGCCCAAGGCCGAACACTGTGGTCATTTGGCCACAGCCTTTCAGAGCAGGTGTGTGATAAAAAAGCTGCGGTGTAATACAAAGCATGCCACGGTCCTCTTTAATCTGATATCAGCATAAATGTGTAAACCGTAATTGGGCCGTTTCAGATCGCTTTCCTCAAATTGTAACACATAATCGATTTGAACAAATTAACATTTTTTAACTGACGCCGGGACCAGTTCTGTATCAACCACGTTGAGAACACCAGGTACAATTTAAACCCATTCGACTGACTAAGAGCGCATATTCTTCTTTAATCATTCATAAAAAGTGTGAGCAAAGGGTTGAAGAGGCGCAGCGAGACGCCGGTGGAGCTGAAGTCATCCGTAGAACGCACGGCAAGGAGGAGAGATACTGAGAGCACCTCCACAAACACAAACCGAGGACGAGTCAAGCTGTGGATCTGCTCTCTGTTGTACTTTTTAAAACGATTGTGTTATTTTTCTCCCTACTTAAACACACAGACCTTCAGAGGCAGAGGAACGAAATGGAATGAGAAACAAAAAAAGAAAGAAAGACACGCAGCTGCTCAGCGCTTCAACTATGGCTCCAACGAAGCTCGTCGGAACGCTCGCCCAGTCCGCTTCACAGGAGTGGACCACAGTGCAGGATGAGAAGTCTGCTGTGCTCCACCGAGTGTGAGACAGGAGGAACTATCACCTGAGCGGCGACCCTCCCCTCGGGGAACACAAACAGACACCTTCACTCCCCTCAACCTGGAAAGTGGAGGCTGGAAACGGCTGAAATCTGCTTGCGCGCACAGTGCCTTTCCAGAACTCTCCTCTTCTCACTTCCTGCTGGAGATGCACCAGTAGCCTCCGTCACTCTGATAAACTTGGGAAAACTTTGGCCCACGGATTTCTGCCACTGAACCTGCCTGCGTTCAGTCTCCATGCACAGTGAGCATCGGTGAAGGGAAACGCCTCTGTGTGATATTATTAAAAGTCCTGCATCACCTCTTCTAGTCCGGGGCCATCGCAGCGAAGATGCCGGTCCGGAGGGGACATGTAGCTCCGCAGAACACCTTCCTGGACACCATCATCAGGAAATTCGACAGTCAAAGTAAGATCATTATTTTATTTCCTTTAGATAGGTGATTTATATAGCTGCTCAGTCTGGTTTTCTTTAATGAAGACTCACGATCAGTGATTCATTTATTGGCTGTTTGAAAACGCATGGTGAAGGAGGCTCTCAGTCTGACCCTTTTCAGAAATGGCCTCAGTGATATTGGCTGCTGCATGTTTCATTGTTTTTACATCTCACAAGTCGAGTAAAACCTCAAAGAAACTATATATTACTGTAAAGATTACATCATACTAACTTAAATCAGTGTGGTGTTTCCACTCACTTCAGATGGTTTTCTCCATCACACTTTTTGTCAAAAGAGTTTGTGCATATTTAA